TGTCATTGCCACATCCACAAAAATTGATATCAGCATCATGAGAATCCCCAAACACCTCACTGATGCTTACTTCAAGAAGAAGAAGCTGCAGAAGCCCAGGCACCAGGAGGGTGAGATCTTCAACACTGACAAAGAGCAATACCAAATTTCAAAGCAGTGCAAGGTCAATCAGAAGACAGTGAACTCCCAGATTTTACAAAAAATCAAAGCCGTTCCACAGTTCCAGGGCTACTTGCGATCTGTTTTTAATCTGACAAATGGAATTTAACCTCACATATTAGTGTTCTAAATTTTTTTACAAAGAGCCTAGTTAAATAAATGATACATTTTTTAAAAAAATTCTCCACTCCTCAACTTCTCTGAATAGAAACATAGATTACTAAGAAACATGAGTGCCCTTATAGAGCTCTGCTCCTTCCAACTGTATATGACTGTCCTTTGGAGAATCTGTCTCTGATAGTAATTTAGGTTTATAGTAAATGCTAATGTGAATTATGGACTTTGAATGATTATTCTGTGTCAGTGTAGGCTCAGCAATCATGCTCCTCATTTGGTGGAGGATGTTGACAATGGGCAGACAGGAAGTATTGGGATCTAGATCTCCTTTTGCTCAATCGTGTTTGAACCAAAAAAGCTTTAAAAATACAAGCAATTTTTAAAATACGATAGATGAATCAATAAGAATGCAATTCAAGAAGTGAAAATACAAAAAAATAACTACAAGAAAAGTTAATAAGAGGGAGGATTTGATGGAAGAAGCAAGCAAAACACGTAAGGTCTCTCCAAGGCTGTTTACCCCAACAATTGTCTCACTTCACACCAGGGAAGAATAAATTAAAAACACAATGAGATACCATTACGCATCATTAGACTCAATAACACCAGGAAGTTTGACAATACAAACTATTGGCAAGGATGAGAAGCAACTGAAGCACCCATATTGCTGGCAGGGAGATATCTGATTGGGCCCACTTAGGAGTGAGATGAAGCAAGTTCTCATAAAACTAAACATGTTCCTAATCTATGACTCTGAATGTCTACACCTAAGATAAATCAAAACATATGCCTGTGAATAAGGCTCACAGGAGAAAGCTTGGAGTAGCTTTATTCATAGTACTCAAAAAATGAATATAGTGTAGTTGTCTATTAGAAAGAAAGGAGAAACACAAACTGTGGTATTCATAATACTCAAAAAGTGAAAGTAATGTGTATCAGATGTGTATCAGAAAGAAAAGGAAAACAAATATTACTGACCAATATAAACAACACAAAGCAATATTTTAAAAAAAGACAGACACGTACAGCCCCAGTGAAATTGCAAAACATCATGTGTTAGTGAGAAAACCTTGACACACAAGAGGACACATTGTGTTATTCCCCATTATTTGAAATTCTAGAGCATGTTTAACGTTATACAGAAAAGTTTAGGACTGTGGAAGGGTGGGAGGCAAAAGTAGAAAGGAACGTGGATGAAAGTCAAGAGATTGGCAAGGTTTTAAATTTGATAGGAATTTGAGATTTATATTGTTTTTTATTTTTCAGAATAAAAATTAAACAAAATTTCATAACAAAATAATAGGAGAATAACAATAGTTAATACATGTTATCTTTAATGTAGTTGCTCCGGGTATATGATATAGGCATAAAAATTTCTTCAATCAATATTAGCACAAGCCTATTTTTTAATGATCTAAACGACACTAATAGTATAACTGACTTGCATTATTTCCCTTTTCGCTGCTGTCCTTTCCCCTTTCACCTGCCCTAGGTTCTTTAACCTTTTGAACACCTTCTTCCCATTTCACAATATGTAATATATATCTTCTTCTGTGTGCTTTTCTTTTTCTTAAAGGGAAAAGAACAAAATCAAAATAGCAAAAACAAAACAACACAAAAACAATAAAAACAATACAGAATTTCAAAAAAAGATAATTGAAATTCACAATGGTTATTGTATTACGTATTGTTATCTTCAAAGTAGTTGCTCAGATTACCAGATATAGACATGCAAGATTAACCAAACAATTAAACATTAACTGTTCTTTTCAATAAACCAATAGAAATTAGTGGTACAATTATCTTAGCTATCTCGTATATATATATATTTTTCTTCCTTTCCTTCATTCTTTCTTTTCTCCTTTCCCTTATCCCAGTTGTTCTTTACTTTTGAGCAATTTCTTTCCCTTTCACAATATCCATTGTAGCTTTCAGATTTGATTTACTCATTCAGCCGTAAAGAAAGGTAAACTCGAGGACTCTATGGGTAAATGGATGCAATTAGAGATCATTCTCATAAGTGAAATAAATCATATCTGCACGTATAAACAGCATATTGTCTGCTTAGTTTAAGAACCTTTGACATATATCTTTATGTACTTGTCAGATTCAAAGAAAGAACATGCAAGAGTTTGATGTGTGTAAATCACACAAAAATAAAATTGAACTCTAGTTAGCACATGCTGACATATTAGGGAGGCAGTGTACCCATGTCTCAATGTAGCTTGAAATAAACTGTTTTATATAAATTTTCATTGCTGAGACAAAATCTTCAACTAGCACAATTTAAGGGAGGAAAAGTTTTTCTTACTTCATAGTCTTTACAGGTTTCAGTCCATAGTAAGCTGGATCCAAGGTGAGGGAGAGTGAGAGAGTGGCAAGGCAGAGGTAAAGACTCTATGGTTTGGCAGACAGGAAGAAGCAGTCTTCGTTTTGTTTTCCCTATTTATCCCAGGCAGGCTAGAAACTATTGGCTGTTGCCACCACCCCCAAGGCAGGTCTTGCCTCTTCAGTAAGTCCATCATCCACACCCAGAACTATGCTAAATCAATCAGTAGAATTATCCAGGATCACATACCCATGACCCAGTCACTCCCCAAAACCCTCCCAATGAAGCATGAGTTTTCAGAGGGAGACATCTAGAAATAAGGCATAACACTGTCCAGAAAATAACTTCATGGTTGAGTACACAGAGGCACAAGTGGAAGAACATGCTATGGAAGGTCTAAGTAGATGTTAACGGGGAGAGAGGCCTGATAATTCCAGCCAGGTACAAGACAAACAGCATGGGGAAAGTGAGAAGGGGAAGGGGACAGTGAGGCCTGTAGCACAGCCAGGAAGAAGGCGAGAGTCTCAGTCAGAGCAGAAAACAGACAAGGAGGTGAAGATCCAAAAAGACTTCTGCTATTAGAATCCCCTATAGACACCGAGACTTTAACTACTCTGACTTATCCAAGTCACAAACCTCCATAGTCCTCTTCAAGTCCTGATGTCACATGGCCCAGTCCCAAACTGCATAGAGATCTATATGGCGTGGAAATTGCCATGGACAACTGGAAAAGTGCCTAAATCCAAAGAGCTCAATGCAGACCAAGATCAAAAGCTTTCCTACAACAGCATGTAGGTCTATTCTCCACATTACATTAGGAGATCCATCTTTCTGCAGGACACAAGAGTGTTCCCATCTGCAACAGAACACCACATAAGTCTATTCTTTACCAGGACACGTGAAGGTCCACAATTCATCTAAACATCCTCATGACACAAGCTTCATCAGACCATGAATATTTGCATTCACTTGTAAAACTATTCCAGACAGCAAGGAAATAGAATGCCAAGAAACTTATTTCCCAGAGAGGGTGTGGTCATGAAAATATGGCCCTGGATGTGAGTGTCCATGGAGGGTTTGATGACTGTGGGGAGGTAATGACAGTGCTCATGTGTAGGCATGGCTGTGAGTGCAGGTGACCAAGAAGTGTGAGCATGGATTGTTCTATTAACAACAGCAATCACAACTTGGTGTGGTTATGCAGCATGTGATCCTCCATAAAAGCAGAAGGAGTGGTCTCTAAGGTATGGTCACAAACAAAGTAACCACTTCATCAAACATCCAAGATTTGTTGTCAAGACCAGAACCATTGTGACAGAGTTTCAGGGGCATCCAACACCTACTGAGGGAGAACAACTCCTGCCCAGAGATGACAGGAGGGCTCATCACACATACTTCATCAGGGAATGTCACTCACACACATAATGAAAACTGCAAGAACAGGATGGGAAGGAAACACACAAAACTTACACCAGATAGGAGTCCAAGGCAAAACAGAGAAATGGGACCAGAATAGAAGGAAGGTCATGGTGGAGCCTCATAGGGTTGATTGGGAGGGACAGTACACAATACATTTAATGTAATCTGTTTGAACAATGAGGACAAGACAGATGCCAGCCTCCCAGGTTAATCCCATCCTCCAGACATGGTCATGGACCCGTGGTCAGCCCAGGGTCCTGATGTACTGGGCCAGGGTTCACTGCCATCTTCTAACCCAGCTTAAGCTTAAAAGTCCATGTTGTAAAGCTTCACACCTAAGTTTAATGAGAAAGACCTGAGCTGTGACCATCATGGATTACTCTGAAGCACAGGAATGCTGAGCTCCTGGTAAGCACTGAGGAACACAGGGACAGACAGACAAATGGACAGACAGACAGGCAGGCAGACAGACAGACAGACAAGGACTGCATGTAGTAAGTCAGGTGACAGAAAGTTTCCCAGCTGGAAGCCCCCAAATGCCTATATCATCCATCCAAGTCACCTCATGCAGCCCATCATCAACCAGGTGTTGGGAAGGACACTGGGCAACCACAAATGGAACCCAGAGGAAAACGAAGGACCTAACACCACATCAGCCCATGAGAGGATTGAGTCTAAGGTGCTTCCTAGAAGGAACAGGGGCACAGCAGAAAGACCCAGATCAGAGATTATGGCAGAGACAGAGAAGCAGCTTTCAGGGCTTTTCAATGTTAGCCCTGGCTGAGCAGAGCTCACATCGTGGAAGCAGTAGAAGAGCAAGAGTGAGATGGACCCTAAGGCCCACAGGTGCAACACTCAAATCTCAGCAGTGATCCTGGAATGACCCACACAGTTTCGATGGTCCTAGGAAAAAACACGGGCGAGATTTAGAAAATAAAGACAAGAGACAAAAGGTGATGTCAGGAGGAGCCCTTTATCTAAATGGGAGAAGAGAAACTCCAAAACAAAGGTAGGGGCTTTATTTATACTTTTGACAAAGTTAGAATCATGGACACAAGGATGCCTATTTAACACTGACTGCAATTGTCTCAGGCAGGAAGAAAATCTTCTCAGGATGGAGGTAGCTTGATTGATTTTGGCACTTAGCCCTGTCTTGCCCCCACACATGTAACCAATTTCCAGCTTCAGCCCCTTCCTACAGACCCGACTCCTCCACCACACCTGTCTCCTCCCCACAGTGTTCCCCAGGTTCTTCAGCATCATCACAATACTCCTCCAGCACCAGGTTCCCTGACACTGAGGGTCTCTGCTCTTTATCCTCCACAGAAAGAACTTCATTGTCCTCATAGACACCACTGAAGGCAGTCGCTGTGACATCCCAGGACCTGTGAAGGGCACACAAGAATTTTAAGGAGCACCCACATTTGTACACCACATGTTAGAACCTATTGCACACTGAGAGCCCTCGTCGTCGGAATCATCCCCTTGAGAACAGTCACGGTCACTGGAGCTAAGCACTCACACAGATGCTAGATGTACAGTGAGGCTAGAGGATTTCAGGCCCGGAACCTACCCCTGAGAACATCAATCATACTGGTAACACAATGGATTGTTCTCAAGACACTTTGTGGGCCAGAGGTGGGGATTGTCTTCAACACCTCATCTGAGAAACACAGTGACACACAAGTCCAGGATGCTCAGTGCCTCAACATCTCATGGGTAGAGACACTCAAGAAGGAGTGGCTAATAGGATGACCAAAGGGGAGAGGGGCATATCACTGTTGGAGTCTCCCAAGAATCCCCTACCCTCTTGATAGAAAATCTCTTTCTATACCTAGGCATGTATACATACCCAGGTAGGCAGCTCTGGGACAGCTCCGCTGAACACACAGGAACAGGAAGATGAGACCCAATAGACAGCCAAGAACCAGGCAGGCAATCTCCAGCAGGATCCAGGCCTCAGCAACAGGTCCAGGGGCCAAGAAGGGGGTTACTATGACAAACACAAAGGCAGGGCTTCCTATGTGCCTTGGGGACTATGAACCTGGGCTTAGATACCTTCAAACTTTGAGGAAGAAGGTGCAGCACTCAGAACACCTGGGTTTCATTGCTACCGAGAAAAGCTGGTGCTTTCCCAGATAGGGCTCAACTTTACAAGGAACAGCAGCACAAGTGCAGAACTCTGGTGGGTGGGACCAAGTAGAAGGTCCAGGTGGAGATTCTAAGCAGTTCTCTTACTCCTGGTAGTGTTAAGTGAGGAGGACATAGGTAGATGTCACAGTGTGTGCCAAGGGAAACCTCTGATGGCCCTGACTACCCCTGTCCTCAGTTCTCCCTTGGAAAAATGCCACAATGTTCAAGAGGCCACAGTGCACTAGAGCCAAACCTCATAGTCATAGAAGGAAATCTCCTGAGATATGGATGCTCTCAACCTAGGACCTCATTCCCACACTGGATTCCCCACTCAGATGGACAGAGAGAGCAGTTGGCATCAACTGGGTGTACATCACCATGGGTATGGAACTCCTGGAGACAGGCTGAGTGGCATGTGGTACAGCCATTCCATGACCAGTGCAATCTGAGGAACTGTGCGGCCCCTCAGGCCACTGACAGACAGGAAGATGGTGAGTGTGACATGTGACATGAGGTGCCCGAGACACAAGCAGGAAAAATGCAGTCTTGAACACCCAGATGAAGAGGAAAGGCAGCACACTACAGCATGGACCTGCCCACACCTAGCAGCAGTGTCCCACCACACATGGCAAGAGTCCAAAAAGATGGAGGAAATAAGCCTATGCTTAAAGCAGCAAATGGGACCTTATGCATGAAGGCCCAGTACTTGAGGACCTGGTTCCACAGAAAGTGACAGACACATACAGACACTGTCCCTGCATTTCCTCCCCGCCCTGACTCACACCAAGGAGCAGAGCATCCCTGCATCTTCCTTGTGTTTACAGTCTCCATATCCCAGTGGCTCTGCAGGGCAGCCCAACAGGAAAGCCTCGCTTCCACTGCGCCCCACCTCATCCAGCCACACAGGCCCTGACCCAGGATCAAAGGCGGCTCTCCGCATGGCATCCGCGGCCTGACCACAGCCCAGCTGGCGACACACGACCTCTGCATCTGCAAGGTCCCAGGAGTCCTCACACACGGTGCCCCAGGAGCCTACGTGCCAAAGCTCCACACGCCCCGAGCAGTCATCATCACCTCACAGGCGCAGTGCACCCTCCTCTGGAAAAGAGCACAGTGTTTAGCTCAGGAACCCCAATGGCATGGAAAGAGAGAACACGACATAGAAAGAAGGTACCTGGGCAACTGAGCGTGGATGAGCAGTTAAGGGTCTGCTCAGAATCCTCAGGAATTTCTGGCTTGTTTTCTGCATGGCAAAATGGGACCCATCTCAGCATTTGCAAGCTCAGTAGCCTCACACTCTGTGGAACATATTTGCTCCTTCCCTTTGTCTTCTTGTCTTTGTAACAAGGAATTTTTTCTCCCAGAGAACCAGAAATGTTTCTATTCAACGAAGAGTAACCACACAGCCTGAGAGCTCAATACACAAGTTCCCTGATAGATGCCATCAGAAAAGGCCCAGGAGTCCAGTGGTCCTGCTTCCCACAAAGAGAAAGCCAAGGACTGAGGCCACTCCATGTGGCCCATGCTCAACTGTGAGTCTCATGGCTGTGACCACCCCTCACACCCTCACAGACACCTGCACATCCCCTCCTACTCACCTGCACACAAGACCCAGGCCTCCTCACTGCTGGAGCAGGAATGCAGGTCCCAGGCAGATGAGGGGCACTGCCACAGGGACCTGTCGTGCCTAGGCCTGCACTGAATGGAAGTCAGCCAGAAAACCCCAAGGGAAGGCCAGCTTTCTGGCCTGCCCAGTAGCTGCCCTTGGGGCCCACAGCCCAACTGCCCACACAGGATCCCCAGGGAGGCTGTGCTCAGGAGATGGCAGATTCCCCCCCAACTTCCATGGTAGAAAACTTCCAGCCGCCCTGCGCATGGCTGTCCATACTTCTGCAGCCTGAGATCCGTGAACTCTGCAGACAGAGAGGCCAGTTGGAAAGGAGGACATGAAAGGATAGGTATATGAAAGACAGAATTGAGCTTGTACCTACCTGAGCAGAAGGTACCTACCCAGCATCCTCTTTGTGCCCACAGTCATGTTGACCCCAAGCTGGCCTTGGGCAATGCCACAGTGCAGACTCATTGCCCAGGCAACCCAGCTCATCCATCCAGATGGGCCCAGATCCTGATCCAAAGTAGGAACCCCCAGGGGCACTAAGGGTATGGCCACAGTCCAGTTGACCACAGACTACATGGGCATCCTTCAGGTCCCAGGCGTCATCACACACGGTGCCCCAGGAGCCTCCCTGTAGCACCTCTACACGCCCTGCACAGCGGCCAGGGCCCCCAGCCAGCCGCACCTGAAGGCTTTCTGAGGAGAGGGTGAGTAAGAACCTGCCAGGTTTTATGACAGCCAGGGCAGAGGAGGCCTGGGACACATACTCACCAGAACACACGACACCCACATCCCGCAAGGACCCCACGGGCACTAGCCGGGACACTGACACGTTGCACTGGGTCAGGCGGGTCTCTGAGCCCTCACAGCGCACCTGGCTCAGCCCCACTGGGACAGCTGCACGGTCAGAGGCAGTTGTGTCATAGGCTCGCTGGGCCTCTCCACACCCAAGCTGCCTGCACACGACGCTGGCACCACGCAGGTCCCAGGCATCATCTAGGACGCGGCCCCACACTCCATCCAGAGAGACCTCCACACGACCATCACAGCGACTCTGTCCATCCTTCAGCCTAAGGGCTCCAGGGAGACCTGGGAGGGACAGAGAGAAGCCACTGTGGAGCATCACAGAGTTCCCAGCTCCTGCACACTGGGAGGCAGTTAGCTGTCCACCTATCAGGGCATCTGTTTCTTTGTCTCTCTGAGCCCCCTTCATTTTCTGTGTGTCCTGTCTATTTATTCTTTTTTTTTTTTTTGCCTTTTCTTCTGGTACCAGGAATCGAACTCACGACTTTGCGCTTGCCAGGCTGTCTATTTATTCTTTCTTCTCCCTAAACTAATCTCAAGCATAGCCCTACCTGTATGGCCTACACCATGTTAACACACCCACTTTATCACATTTCTTTCACATATGGCCTAGTGATTGTCCAACTCAATAAGCCCCTCTTTTGCCCAGGGTGCTGAATGGGCAGCTCAACAAATGAAACTCTGTCCCCACACAGTGAAACACATCTGGCCAGATGGGAGCGTCTCCATCTCCAAAATGGCCTCCTCCTGGTGTGGCCACTGCATTTCCACAGTTGAGCTGATGGCAAAGGACGGTGGCGTCTGTTAGGCTCCAGTGGGCTGCACAGAGGGGTGCCCAGGTCCCCTGCACCTGGAGCTCCACACGGCCCTCACAGGGGCTGCTGCCATTGACCAGCCGGAACTCTGGGGGAGAAGCAGAGTCAGTGAGGACTCAGATGCCCGACACAGACACACTGACGCTGTGAGACTTCTTAAACCTAGTGCACACCCAGATTCCACAGACACAAACTAAAGGCAGGAGAACAGCTTTGTAACATGGTACTGCGTAAAATTAAGGTAGGGAATTACAATATCCATCCCTGTGCTAAAGCAGTGATTAAACTGTGGGAACTGTCAAAATCCACTTTGTCAGAGCACCAGATGTGGGAGAACTGTGGTGAGACCCTAATATTGGTCACACACAAACAAAGTGAGACCAGGCAGAGTTTATATGCCATGGATAATAGTCATTTGAGGTCACAGTCCAGAATTAATCTAAAAAGAATAGAAGATCACTTTTTCTCTGGCATTTAAAGGAAATCTCTGTCAAGTCCTTCACTGATAACTATGATTCTGAATAGAGACTTCAAAAGCCACACAAGAAAGAAGAATCTCTATAAAAGAGTTTAGATAAACTGCTTGTTCAAGCCACCAAAACACAAGAAGAAACCTTGGGTTGAAGGATATAACCTGACTTCCAGAGTTCCTACAGCACAATGTTCAAAATATCCAGGTTAACTCAAATTGACAAGGCAGGTAAAACACACTAAGGCACAGTGTAACAGAAGCAGTCCCTGAGGAATCCCAGGTATGGGAGTTTTTGGACAAAACCTTAAAATATGGATCTTAATTCTGCTATAAGAGCTACAGTAAGCCATGAGCAAGAATTCAGAAAGTACTGGCATAGCAATATCTCACCAAATAAAATTCCAATAAGCAGACAATTGTCAAAGGGAGAAAAAAGGAATTTATATCTGAAGTGTATAATATCTAAAATAAAAATAATTATTAGATGGGTTCAAGAGAATGGTAGAGGGGTTCAGTGTGGCTAGACAAAAGGAAAAACCAATGAATATAAAGGTAGAACAATGGAGATGATTCAAAATGAATAATGTTTAAATTAATTATGAAATATCAACAGCCTCACCAACATATCCCTCAGAGAAGTCCTGCAAGAAGAGAAAAACTGGACAGGAACAATCTTTGAAGAAATCTGGACAAAAATTTCCCAAATTTGACTAAATGCCTGACTCAACACCTCCAAGAAGCTCAACTAATACTGTCCATGTGATGCTCCAAGAGATGTACATTGAAATGCGTTATAGCCACTTAGTATATATCCAAAAGAAATGACATCAGTATGTTTTAGAAATATCAATACTCCTGTGTCCATTCCAGCAATATTCACAATGTGAATTTACAATGCACAAATCATATGAAAACCCTAAGTGTCGTTCCGTGATGAATGGATGATGACAATGAGGCCTGTATACACAGTGCAATACCAATTAGTACCTCAAAATAAGGAAATTCTGTTATTCTTAATGACATGGATAAACCCAGAAGTTTTATTATGTGGCCTGGCACAGCAGGTAGTCATCACATGATTTCACTGATATAAGGCATCTCAAACTCTAGAGCAGAGTAGAACAGTGCTAGCAGGGAGTTGGGGGATGGGGTAAGGGAACAACAGACATTAGAGAGATATTTTCAAAGGGTACAAAACTGTGTCTAAGAGAAATAAATTAATAGTGTCACTGCATAGCATAATCAGTAACAATGTGCTAAATCTTAAAGATTGCCAAAAAAGTAACATGTCAGCACAAATAGTTTACTAGAAGGTAAAAGTAAGTAATAAATATGTTAATTAGTTTGATTTAGTCATTCTACCATGTATACACATAGCAAACATTATGTTGTACACTTAAACATACAATTGGTTTTTGTCCATTTAGAGAATAACAAGTGAAAGTATTAAGTAAAGTAAAATTGAAAAAATTTTGAAATAAGAATAAGCTTTAAAAAGACAAAACTGCATTATATACAAACGGTCAGTGCACAAAGAGAATCTTCAAAGCAACAAAGAGAAGCCTTGTCACACACTAGACATTTACAATGAGATTAACAGCCAACTTCATACTAAGATCATAAAGGAAGTCCTGAAGGGAATTCATTTTTAGTGGACCTGCCCTAGAAGAAACATTGTGGGGAGTCTTTGCAGTGGAAACAAGAGAACTGTAGGAAGCATCCAGAAGTCAGAGGAAGGAACAAACAATGCTGGCAGAAGTAACTACGTAAGACAATACTGAAGCAATATTTATGTATTTGACATGTGACTCCTATTCTCTCATATGTTTCAAAAGACAAGAGCAAAAGTCTATATTAAAAATTCACATAATATATAAAGGTATGATTTGAGAAAACACCATAAAGGTAGAGACAACAGTGTACGGAACCAGAATTAAGGCATAACTTTGAATTATTTTTATTTTAAACTGAAAAAAACATTAAAAAATAACAGAATAATACAGAATTTCAAAACAATATCATGGAGATTTAAAATGGTAATATATTGCATATTTTTAAGTTAATATCAATATAATGTTCTAAATTTAATATATTAATTACAGTTCACCAAAGTAACCTTAGGAAAATAATTTAAAATATATCCAATTCATGTTTATTGCAGTACTAGTTACAGGAGCCAGAAAGTGGAAAATGATGGGATGGTTTGGTACATTCATCACGAATGAGAGCATTTTGAAGGGGGATTAACAGCAATATGTCATTTACTATAATAAATATTTAAAATTTAAATATTCACCAGGTATTTCAATCATACCACTCATGTGAAATTTGAACAAATTATCTCAGAAAAATTGAGTGCAACATCTGGCATAGGATGTCTTTCCTCCACTCCATCCAGGTTGGGAACCTTGGTCCTGGTGGTTCTATATTGTTTGTTTGTTTTTTTTTTTTTTTTTTTTT